CACAGAGGGAAGCCACATTCAGCACATTAACAGCCGCCACCTGTTGCTCTGTGCTACTTCAGAGGAACCCTGAGGCTGGGGAATCACACTGTGCTCTGGCCCTTGATCTCCAGGGAAGTTTGAGACATCAGGGATGTACATTTGTCTCCATGTTTTTCTTGCATTTGCAGGCTTTTGCAGGACGTGATGCAGGTGGGTTTGGGAGTTCAAATGGAGCAGAGGTTGTTGGATCAACTTGAGCACCCCTTTGGTGCAGGTCACTAGGAGGAATTTTCAAGCTCCATTTCATGTGGCTGTCCTGAAGACAAACTCTTCTTGGTTAGTCAACTGTGGTCAGAAATTTTGCTGCCACAGACCACTCTAGAAATCTTAAGTACCTCAAGCATAAGTACAAGGAATAGCAAGAGAATGTGAAGAGAAAGATCTTACTAACCTTGTCAATGACATTTGTAGGACATCCGCCAGATTTCTCCCTTCCTCTCTGCAGTAGAGGTTAAATCGATCTCCATTCCTATGCACTTTCCTGCACATATGTAAAGCGAAAAAAAAAAAAAAAAAAAAGCATATCACTAATGCAGCTAATTCTCAGTATCTTGAAGCAATTGACACAAGTACATGAATTAACTCATCACTTTATAACACTTGAGGCAAATGTGCTATTTGGAGTACCTCTTGGTAAGAATAAGCAATTTAAGATCCATTAGTATTTGGAATATTCTGCTTCATTAAAACCACAGTCATCCCTAAATGTAAATGAGTGGAGAGAAGAAGCTATCAACCTCTTGGTTGTATGAGACAAACTTAAAAACTCTTTATATTGCAGAGTACTGTAAAAAGGTTTTAATATAAATACAAGAAATGCCTTAGATTTCCAAAAGAGGGTTCTCCTACCTTGGGTTGAAGTTTCTTATAGCTTTCTTAAGTTTGAAAACTATCATATGGATTGAAGGTGAGAAAGCAATTCTAGTGTACTGATTTTAAGCTTTTAATATCATTCCAGGGTAGTTTTGCAAAACACCGTGTCTGTGTTCCATTCTGCTACTTGCATACCAAAATTCATTTTCTTTTATAATGGCCACAGTGCCTAAGATTATGAGAGAGCTGGAATTATTTTTTAAAATAATAAATACCTATCCTCTGTTTTCATTCAAAATTTCCAAATGATTCAGGGCCCCCTTGCCCTGGGCTTGACCTGAAGAACTTTAAGATCAAATCACTTTCTTTCATTTATGACACTGTGTGCTTTTATGGTCAGTATTATAAATAATATAAAAGCAGTGGTTTCAGATTTTAATTAGACTTGTGACACATCTATAGTGCACTAAACAAAAAATATATTACAATGATTTGTTCAGCACTTACGGTAACAGAACAAGGAAAGAATCATGAAAAAATTCTGGAAAAAAAGAATGTTCTTTTTCTCCTCATTTCAGTCACATTCAAGTCTCAAGAAGTTCCTCAACTTTAAGAAGCTATTTTTGTCTAAGCAGTAAAGGTAGGGATGCTACAGAAGTCACAGGGATTTCTAGAAAAACTAAATCCTTTCACTGTGGTGCCTAATTTAGTCTTAAGTCTTTTCCAAATGTTGAAATACACCTTCAGGGCCAGAGACCTTACAATTCATGCAAAACTAGAGTGTCTGCAGGTAATGGCTGTTGACTGAATGAGAGAGGGGTATTGCTTCACCACTGAAGAATGAATAGGTGGATCCTGGCTAACACAGAGTACAACCTGCCTTTCACTCTTCACCAAGGGGCCAGTCCGACTTTGCCTGAAGCCACTGATTTAGGTGAAACCATCGTCCAGCAGAGGAACATCAAATGCAAGAAGGTACAAAAGTGTGTCCATGTTGACAACATGATGCTACTGGAAGGAATGTACTAGGTGACTGTTGTCACACAATGTTCTTCCCTTGGAAGAAAAATCACTTCCTGCTTCACACAATTTACACGTGTGGTTTGATAAGGCCTCATGTCATGTTGAAATAACAACACAGTGCTGAGCTGAACTCACTGTTACACTGGCTGATAGGCTTGTAGACAGGTATGCCAAAAATAAAAATTGTCCTGACTATGCACATTAAGAGCATAAAATGTATTCCAAGACTACTGTATGTCCATTATATGGTGTAGATCAGGGTTAGATTAACTCTGAAATATCAAAAAAAATAGTTTCCATAACCAAACAAAGGCACTGGACTCTAGTGAATCAGTATTAGTGCTCTGCAGCTGTAGGGAAGATACTTTATAATTAAGCCTGCACCCTCCAGCAGATCTCGGTTGGAGGTACCAGCAGTCCTTGGCAAAAACTGGTTTGAAATCAGCCTAGCTTCCGGCAGAATAGCTCCGCTGGTGAGGAAAAAAAGCCAGTGTGTTTCTATAGCTCCCACACAGCAAAAGCTCACTTAAAGTAGCTGAGAATGTGAACCTAATATATCTTTATTTTCTTGCTTTTAATTTCTCTTCAAGATTTACAATTCTGTAAAAAAAAAAAAAAAAAAAAGGCTTATTTACAAGAATGGTTGCAAAATTAACCATTAATTTTCTGCTCAAATGGATGTGATGGACACAGTGCAAAATGATCCTGAAATAACAGAGCAGAAGTCAGGTTAAATCTGAAATTCCTACGCTTTTTGCTTTTCTAGATGGTGGGGAATGTTAGGAACAAGACTTGTGCTGGCATGAACAGAGTTGCAAAGACTGTTGGGCTAAAGTTTGAGGCAATCTAAGAGGCTCCTCCACCTGACTCATAAGTATTCCACATCAATATCTCTGATAAATGTCTAAAGCGTTTGAACACAGAAATAATATCAAGGGTACTTCCCTCATAGCTGAGTCAAGCTGTGACAACAGGTCCTGAAAGAGGATATTTTTATAATACTTTATCTTGTCATCATCCTTTTTTTCAATGTCTAGTTCAGGGAAGAATAGCAAAGTCCTTTCGTGCTGAATGGGTTTAAGGGGAGTTGGTTGTTTATTTCCCTGAAGCTACACAGTGCCTCATGTCTCCACATCAGGGTGAGACTGAGGTTTGCGTCAGGCAAATTCCACAGGAACGTTATTTTTTAGATCACTTCTAATGTTAGTTGATTCTGGCTGATAGAAATGCCCTCTTTTCCCATCTCCACATTACTACACAATCTGGCCAGCAATAGTTCAAATTTGATAGCCCACACAGGTATAAATTTAGTTAACTGTTGGTAAGGCCTGGCTTATTACTGTGTCCTTGAGGTGACCAATTTTCACAAGCCTTCACTTTGGAAAGCCTGGGTCGGAGCCACCTGCCCCCTCAGGCCACAAAGGACGAGGGAGCTCCTGGCTCGCACTCGCTCCTTTTGCTGCCTCTGTTGCATTCTCACAGGTCCCCACTTGCAAACTGGCCCATAGCTCCAGTCCCGAAGTCTGTGCTGCTGTTACAAATGTGCTGTTGGGAAAAGGCACGGCACAAGGGGCTGTTGCAGGCGGGGGATGGCAAGTGGGGCCGGGCGCTGCTGTCAGGGCCATCTGCGTGAGTAGCACAGGCAGAAGGGCCACACGTCCATGCTGTGTGGGGGATAAGGTGTCCCAGCACCTGGCTTTGGACTCTTTCCTCGCCTCTCATCACACCACCATCTTTGGCGCCAGGCACATTTTTGTGGCAAATTCCAAATGAAAATGACCCTTCCGTAGAATTTTGGCAGTTTCTTGGCCACAAACCTATGCAGTCCGTGGGCCTGAAATGAGACTAATAGAGCAGCTTGCAATTCCTAGAGCTCTTATATTAGACTCTCTCCAAACTCAAGTGGATCTTCTTACTTCATTGCTTCACACTCAGTTCAGACTTGAAAGAGGTCTTGGCAACTCTGAGAGCCATGAAACATTTTAAAGTGATTAATAAGACTGCACACTTACAGCAAAGGATGACTCCTGCAGGACTCTGCCTACATTCCCTGTTAACGTCAGATAACAATTCATCCAAGTAAAGTAGATAACAAGTGGATTTTTTCATATGCATCCGTAACAAAATCTAAACAACAGGAAAAACAACAAAGTGCTTAATACACAATATTTTCAGTACAAAACAGATTAAAAAACACTCTCTGAAAGAAAACAAACCCATTCATATCCTAAGTCCTCTGCCCAGGTCTCCAGATCACACTTTTACCTGTCTGAATACGTAGAACACTAGACTCTCTTCTCATTTTCCCATAATCTCTTCAGCTGCCCTGCTCACACATACCCTTCCTACCTACTCTCATACTGGAGAGCACACCTCCCGTCCATCTCAGTGCCGCTGACACATGAGACTCTGCTTCTTCAGGCAAACTCCTGGGGCTCTGGGTATGAAGGTATCAAAGCCAAATCTCACAGACGCCTCTAGTGCTATAACCCCTGCCCTCCGGGAGCTGACTGCGTGCCAGCCTGCGGTCCGGCAGAGTCCCCGGGCGGTGTCACTGCCGCTGCCCAGGCACAGGATCCTGTTTTCTCACAGATGGCCCGTGTTTGCTGTGTGCAGCCAAGGGACATGTACCACTAAATGGCAGGCTGTTCGGCTGGAGGCTTGCAGTCTGGTACAACCTCATCAGGCTGGGTACTGCCACGCATCTGTACGTTGCTCCCAAGGATCACAACAGTGGTCCTCAGAAACAGGCCAGCTATTCACTGCTGTGACCAGCTATAGCTGTACTGACATGTTGTCTTTTCTACTTTGATGTTGTCAGCATCCTTAGTGAGAAAACACCACTGTTGCTTTCCACACTGCCTGCGTAATTTATAATTTTTTTCTTTTTATAGTGCAAAGGTTAGGCATTTCTTTGCTGTAAATTTGGGTGCATTTTCTCCATTGCTTGCCTATGTTTTTTTCCAGCAACACAGTGTCAAGAAAGTCTCTAGCCACTGGGAAATACTAGTTGCAAACCTCTCCCTTGTTTCCTTAGTGCAGAAAGCTGTCTGTGCTCACCCTGGAAAGGACCATATGCTAAGAAATTCACTGTTGCTTTTGTGCCCCAGATAGCATTTCTCTTTCTTCCCTTAGGGAAGAGCAGTCACAAAGAGTCCCCTTACTTTGTGTTAGGAAGTGGAAGTGCTTGCTCTGATAGTAGCACTGCCTTACCCAAATAGGCCAAGAGACAAAGAACTCTGAGTTAGTTGAACTACTGAGGTTGAAACAGATTTATAAAAATATCTATCTATCTATCTATCTATCTATCTATCTATCTATCTATCTATCTATCTTTATTTATTTATTTTTATACACATTTCTCATCCTTGTATGTTTTTTCCCCTCTGGTAACCTGATATTCCTGCAAGAGTATTCCTTTGTTGCATTTTGGCTTCACTTCCTGTTGAATTATTTCATTTTATTTAGCTTCACCTGTTAAAATACATGAGCTAATTCTCTTTGTGATGACCTGCCACTGCTTCTTAGTCTTCAATGACAGGATGCAGCAACTGCATGCCTGCAAACCCTATGCCATGAAAATCACCTGGACACCTTTACACACACATAAGCAGAGAAGACAGGCCCAGACTGAAATGCCTTGACCAGTTTAGCTCTGCTCTCAGGTGCTTCCAAACAAGAAACCTCTGCTCACAAACACGGCGCTTTCATATCTTTTGTCTCTGGGCTGCTAAATGTTCAATGTGTAGGGTCTAACACCATGGGCACCACCATTTATCTGAGTTTATCCCTCTCCAATTCTAGAACTCCCCCTGGGGGACCTTATGTAGGGTTTTTCTGAGGTAACACAACATTGTGGTATAATGAGTGTTTTGAAATAACTTCTTTTTCTATGAATTGACTGCATACTACCTGTCTAAAAGCAGCAGCAATGGAAGGAACTCTCCAGAGTACTATGGTATTTATTTTTATCATTTTTACTGCTGTGATGCTGAGTGTTATAATTTATCTGACTTCTCACTCAATGTGCAGATCTATGATAGCTCTATGCCACCTTGAAGCACAGAAAGCCCTTGTCTGGCTAGTCTGAGGGTTGCCCAGCAAGTCATTACTTGCACTGGGAGTGGTGAAATGCAAGGCCAGAGTATTCTGGGTAAACAGATACCTCTTTCATCTCTCCTGCAGAAGTGGGTGAGTGAGAATTGGTGTTACACAAGACTGCGTTGATGCTGTTCAAAGTGATGAGGTTTACCCTTAATGTTATACTGAGGGAACACATGTGGTGACCAGTGATTGATTACCTTCACAAAGCTCATTTTCACTCAGCAGTGGTGAGTTTCAGAAGGGTGATAATAACAGATATCATTGTCTAAGTTCTCTCTCACATGTTGTCCACTGTCCCATGGAAATAAAGAAGTGATTAATTCCTCTAACAGCTTTTTTAGTACTCTGGAAACATTGACATTAAGTGTCAGATACTGCATATTTACCTACAAGAGCAAAAGTCCATAGTGGGTCCCCTTTAACAACGAAAACCGAGGACACTACCTCAATCAAAGAACTGGAAGGATGTCTGTAAGGAAGTAAGACTATTCATAGGAACAAATCTCTCAGCAGGGATTCAGGACTTCCACAGGACCAGGGATGAACAGGAAGACTATGTCTACCTGTGAGCTTGCGTGCTTAAAGAAACAGAATCGGAGCTGGAGGCTTTGGCGGAATGCTTGACTGACCTTGGAGGCACAGGTTACACAACCTGAATAAGGAAAAAGTAGATGGCTCATGTTACCTGTTAAAATAAGAAAATACTCCTCTTTGGGAGATGTTAGCTGAGATGCTTCCAAGCATGAACCTTTCTTAAAAAGGGAACAAATACATAGATTAACAGAGATACAAAGGGGTGGAGATAACACCTGCCAGTGGCAGTTTGGCAGGAGTGCAGCATCCTCTATGGCAAAAGGTCCAGCAGAGGAAAAGATTGCAATGGCTGATGCAGGTGTGTCCTCCCATCTAAGGGGGTCAAATTAGCAGCTTGCTCCTCCTTCTAAGTGGTACTAACCATAGAGGCAACAGTGCTGGGAACTGTTACCCCTCACCCTCTGCTGCTTCCACACAATAACCAGCAGCTGCTCAACCCCCTGCCCCTGACACATGCCTGAGCAGCACCTCACAGGGTGCACACTGTCAGTAGGACATTGAAGTAATGAGGCTCAATTAAGCAGCTCCCCATACAGTCGTGGATGAACTTGTCCCAGCAAGAGTACCTAGATCCAGTGGCTCAGCAGGGTGGCTGTGTGATGTGCAGCTGGTTCAAAGCTGCATATTCCTCCTCCCTGTGGGACACGCTTGCCCTTCTGAGTACCACACACACAAGGTGTAGCCGGGGGGGCCACAAAGACACAGGATTTTAATGCCACCCCTTCCATTCTTATACATACCTGTTTATCAAGAAGTAAGAATAGACAAAGGGAGAAAAGATAAAAAACCTTCATAAAAATCAAGAAGGGTTTGGCTGACATAACACTGGTTTGCTTCTGAAATGAAATTTGAGCATCATTCAGCTTTGCTTTCATTACTGCATAGGTAAGTCAACACTCACCTTTGCTTAGAGGGTCAGCTCAAAATTTTGTGCCTTTTGTTCTTCCCAAGTGAGTCTTCAGTGTGGGATTTACATGGTGGCCAGAATTTTTGCAGCCCTTTCCCAATGGTATATTTCTGCAGAAATACACAGATCTGAAAAGATAAACCATTTATTCCCATTAAGAGTACTTAGGGAGAAAAAAAAAAATCAGTCTCGTTTAAATTTAGTATCATTACATTTTGGATTTTTTTTTCTACCAGGCCATTTTCCTCCAGCTGCTTTCATATAAACTCTGCTCCTAAACTTCCAGCCATAATGGAAATGGGAAGTCAGTCTCTGATGTTAGGCCACAGAAGCTGTATTTACTTTCTTGAGGGACGCAATGCTCCTTATAGTAGATTTCACTCTATTTACAACATGTGAGTCACTTAGTTGAATTTTGCTATAATAGTATATAAAGTCTGCAGAACTGTACATATATAAGTTTGTATTCAGCAATTAGAGGAGTGACACTGTTCATTCATTGCAGAACACCACTCAGGTGGACAGCTGGTGGCAAAGTGACCTGGATGTATAGTAGTGGGGGACTTTTAGTGTGGGTTTGGGTAGGAGGTGGCCCCCTTGCAAGGTGGCATTCAAAGGAGAAGATGAGAAGTCTAATTCAAGGGTCCCAGGTATTCTCGGAAAGGTTTTTACTGACTGACAGTAAGACAGTGTTTGCACAATTGCCCAAAAGTGTAGCCTTTGAAGAATAAGAATAATAATATTTCTGTTCTCTGAGATACACTTTATTTTTGGAAGTGACCTGATATCAGCAGAAGGAAAACACTCAATTTCACAGTTACATCGAAACAAAAATAATTGCAGAACACATGCAGAAATTAAAATCTATTACTGGCAATTTGCGCTTAGAAACTAAACATCCCCTAAAGCTAGATAACTTCAACCATTTCAGTTTGGTTTTGTTATGATTGGTTATCCCCTCTGTATCACTATTAAGGCCTGAGATATTTTCTTCACGTCTTCTCTAATCCCATTCTTTTGCTGTCTTCCATCTTGCTAAAGATATTTTAGGTCCTAGACAATGTGGATATTCAATTCATGTAATTAAAACGTAGCTACAACCATCTTTTTCATTTTCCTTACCATAAAAAAAAATTACATATTGAATCCTAACAAACTTTATGGACGTGTTCCTCATTTTGAGTTTTATGCAGTAGCCACTGGAGACAAATGGGATAATTTCCCATGGATCCAACAAACACTGATCCAAATAATACAGCAAGAAAAAAGCACTCATTAAAAAACCCTTGTAAAAATTACAGGAATGCAAGAATCTCCTTGACTGAGGATGTGCAACCCCGAAATCACTGAGGAACATACTCGTCAGCTTTCAACTTTCCTGATAACACCACCCAAAGAAAAAAGCAGCTTATTTTCTCCTTTCTAACCATATTTTGAGCTGCCTAGAAAATCATAACTAAAACTTATCTTTCCATACATGTCCCCTCCAAAAAGAGTGACACAGCAAATGACCAGACAAGCCACTGTTAAGCCCTGTTAAGTCATTTGGGGGATCACCTTCAGAGACTCCTGATTCACCATTGAGGTCTGTAGAATTTCTGCCAGCAGTGCCAGAAGGCAGAAGACTCAGGTCAGCCTATCACTTTTGGTACTCTGACTGATGCTATTTTGCCATGGCTCATCAGCAAAATATTTCTTACAGGACACAGAGCATTTGTTCTGATGCTGTAAGTGGGAAAACAAAGTCAGATACCAGCGTGCTGTCTCTGTCCTCTTTCCTTTAGCACCGTGACAGCACTACCAAGTCCTGACAGACTTGGAGAGAGTGGCACCAAGCTGTCCATCAGCCAGTGGAGAAGGGTCTGACAGTGAGTTACAGATGAAGGGAGTGAGATAGAGAACATTTGCCTTGAGTGCTGAGCAATCAGGGAAGATAACTACTGTAATTTGTGGCTCTGCATACAACCTCCTTGGCTATGTGCAGTTCTCACTGACACTGAAGTGGCCTCAGTTAATGGGCTTCCACCACTGCATCCAAGGGCAGAATTTGCACCTCCTCTCTTCCTATAAACAACTACAGATGAACCTGTCCTCAGGCTCGTGGCTGAGAGCCAGTCTGCGGGTACCACTTATGCCATCAACACCATCAAGGAGGAAAAAGTTGCAGCAGGTCTGACCTAGTGCTCAGTATGAGATACACTGTCAGTTGGCTACTTGACTTGGTTGCACTCTCAACCATCTAGTGGGAAATGAGGGACAGTAATAAAGTACTTAGCAAAGAATCCTAGCAGTTTTTCTCTCCTCTGCATTCCTCCCCCACCTTAATTTCATAGCTTTGCCAAAGGTTGAGGAGGGAAAAAAAATGGTGCAAGTCTAAAAAGACATTTTTGGTAATGAGTTTTGGTACCAAATTCCCAATCCATGCTTTTCCAGGTGGCTTGTTTTTATCACATACACCATAACCTAGAAGTATCCTACAGTTTCTCTCCTGACAGGTTGGATATTTAAATGCACAACCATTTATACATTCAAGAATTCAAATCTGCAGTTTCAAAATGGAATTATGCCAATCACGTAGGCCATCTGGCTAAATTCGTGTTAGGAAGTCGTAAATAAAGATGACATGGGGTCACTTAATGGAAAGGCACTGACATTTCATCCATGGTTTATTACTATCCTCTGGTCCAAACTGAAGTGAGCTTATGGTCGCAGCTTAGTTTTCAGTGGACAAACTGTCTCTGTCACAGTTTCCCTCCCCCTACTGTAAAGAATCTATATGCTGCAGAAAGGATTTTTATGGACTCAGTTCTGTGGCCTGTACCCTAGCATCATGCTCGCTGACTTCAGCAGCACATTTTCCACATCTGGAAAGGCATCACAGAAATTAATTCTGTACAAGTGCAATGGTCAAGGAGGGAGCATGCACAGACCCTTGCCCTTTCACTTACAAAATCATAAGATTCAACACTAAGTTAAAGAAAAATAATTCTCATTGTAAAAGCTAGAGTAGGTCACGGGGCTGTAACACACTAGGACTCTGCAAGACTAGCCTGCTCACGCACACGTGCGCACAAAGGCTCTATTTTCAATTGCCTCTTGGCATAAAGAGTAGTTTTGATTTAGAAAAAGGCTCAGAACTGGTATGAGGATCTCACTCATTTATTTCTCATAGGAAATATGTTCTCTTCTGGTCTCCTTGGAGGGATGTGTCTTTGTAGGCAGGGTCAGCACTGCCAGGAGAGAGGGAAAGAAATAATTTGCAGATTCATGACCATGGTTTCAAGAATCTTGGCTCGGCACGAGCATTAGTCTATTTATGTACATGTCTGAGGGAAGACAGAGACTCAAAATAAGTAAAAGCAGCTTCAAGAAAGTGAGTAATCTCTTCTGTGTCCTTAGTGAATAGGACAAGAAATGGGCTTACCTGCAGCTAGAGATGCTAAGGAATGGTAAAGGTAGAGAAGCACTGAGAAAAGACTGCCCGAGGAGGTGTGAGGTTGGTAGGGGTGCTTGAAAGGAGACTGTTCCTGGGGAGGTGCAGATATGGTTGAAGACAGAATAAATAACCTCTTGATAGACATTCCAGCCATGTGACTGACAAAAATGTTTTACTCCCTTCTACCAATTTGCTGGTTTCTGAGATATTACGGCCTGCTCCACTGAGAGCAGTGACAAAATACCTCAGTTCTTCCTATCTGATCTCACGTGAGAGTATGCCAAAAGCAGTAAGGAAAACAGACAGGGAAAACGTAGCCTAAGAGCATGAAATGTGGAAAATAAGGATATACCGACGGCATGTGAGCTGTCCCTCAGTCTCCAGGTGAAATACCAGGGCTTGGCAGGCATGCAAACGGAGCCCGCTCCTGGGCGTGCGGCTGTATGCCTGACACCAGAACAGCTGGCAGCACAACCAGCCTGCGGGTCATCCAGTTAATTCAGTGGTCTCGTAACCTTTATGAGCAATTATTCAGCAACATCCAATAATTAAAAACAAATATGCTGCAGGTAACACGGAGAACAGCTGACAGGGTTCGGGAGTAGACACCACATAAAAAAATTAACACAACAGGCTGCCATTAAAATGAGGCAGACTCCACATGAACTGATGGCTGCCAGAGTCACATTTGTACAGCTAGAACTTCTCTTTTTTCGTGTCCTTTTAAAGAAGCTGAAAATATCCACTAACCCTGAGAACAAACATATCATTTTAAAGCAGAATAGGCCTGTAAGACTTTTTAACACTTGTTCATTGATTATATTAATGCCAGAATATATTAAAGAAGTGCAATATAAATTTGATTTTAATTGTTTTGTACACACGCCAGTGAAAAGGAACTGATTGGATACAGTTCACAGGCAGTATGTTAATACGTTATTTTCATATGATGATAGCTTTGCATAATCTTTCTTTTTCCAAGATTTAGAAGAACCTGTTGTTAACCAAAGCACAGGAGAGAGGAAGAATACAATTTACATAAAATCGGCTACCCTACACATTAATTAGTAATGTGGCTGAGCGGAAGGTGTGTTCACTTAGTAGAAAGTACACTTTATAATTTATACACCAGCTGTTTCAGTGCTTTCTAGTCCATTTTCCTCCCTGCCTGCCTCTAATGAAATCGTGTTACTGGAGAATTGACTGGGGTGAATTGAGATTTTAATCCCATTGACGCTTCTCTATGGAAAGGCACACTGGTGGGAACTTTTAATGGAAGGTCTGTAATCAGAAGACACTTGTATTCAGTCCCCCACTATAATGACTCTCATCAAATGTTAAAGCCCAGGCAGTGTGCAGAAGGCTAGAATTTCAAGGTTTTTGACCAACCCCATTTGAGGCATTCCTCTGGGAGTGTGTGATTACTCAAGTTTAGCAGTTTATTGCCTCATCTTTCAATATCCAGTGAAGCACAAAATTCTCATCTAGGTTGCTCTTTTTACTTAAAGAACAGGCCAAAATAGACTGCAGAGCTACTAGCACTGTCATTGAGGTTAATTCTTGCTTCTCAGTTAACAGGAGATCAATGGAAAAGCTTTAAAATATTAGAACACAAATGCTGTTTAGTCTCTAAAAATGTTCAGCAGCCTTTGTAAAAATTCTG